TTTGCAGGTTCCAATTTTTTTAACATTTTTATTATTATCATTTTTTCCCATGTGTGCCATCTTAGATGTAAGATATTTTTTTTTTCCTTCATCTCTCCTGAAATGTATTTTTTAAGTAGGTTTCATTTTTAACCCTTTTGCAGAAAATACCTTTACTTTAAAGTTGATTTTATTATTATTTTTTCCCCCCCATGTGTACTAATCTTGGTGTCACATATTTATTTTAATTTTTTTGTCCTTCAGTCTGTTTGACAGCAGACAATGATGTAGTCCAGAGCCCACCCTACAAGGTGATCCAGACTGGTGAAAGTGTGTCAATGGATTGTTCTGATGACAGGTCCAACTTCCTGACCAAGTATTGGTACCGCCAGAAGGACGGAGCTCTAGTCCTGATCGGATATTCGTACAACGCAGGGGAAGCTGACATGGAGAAGGATTTTCCCAAAGATAGATTTCTGATAAAAGCTGATACAGCTATGAGGAGCTCCCTGACCATCAGTGAGGTGTCTGTGGATGACAGTGCGAATTACTTCTGTGCCAGCAGCATCCACAGCGGCACAAGGATAACACGAGGCCGTGCAGGAATTCATCAAAGACACTTTCCTGTAATAAAGACTGTTATACCACAACCAGCTGCCATCTCTTCCTGACAGTTACACACCTCACACATTATAAACCTTTTATTGCAACACTGAGTTTTTCTCCTCATTCCTCTTTCTGGCAGAAAATAACATAATTTTATGAGGTGACCACAAGTGTCACACTGCTCTGGAGATCCTCCGGTTTTAATACTTTAAGTTGCGAACCCAGAACAAGCATGCAAATAACCACTGTGCACATGTTCCAGGGATCCCAACCTGAAAAAAGTAATTTCAGGGAGATGCCCTTCTCATTTCAGGGAGGTGCCCTCTGCCCCACCCACCTTCTCATCTACAGGGGCGGAGCATCTCCCCCTAAAATGATGGCAGATAGCAAAGAAGCTAATGCTTCCCATGCTATATGCTTTTTTTTTTAGTATTCTGACAGCTGCTGCCGTCAGAATAAAAAAAAACAGCATAGGAATGAATAGCTAGATTGCTATTGGCTATTTCAATCTGCAATAGCCAATAGCAGACTAGCTATTGCACTAGCCCTCTGCTGCTGTCAATCAGCAGAGGAAAAAAAATGTTTTCTCAAGTGTCACTTTGCTGCAACGAATGAATGAAACGGAAACAAAACGACAATTCGTACAGAGTACTGCTAACAAATTTCGGAATCAGAAATTCGGATCCGTTGGCATTCGTTTTATTTGTAATTCGGAATTCGGATACATCCAGATCTCTGAATTTCCGAAATTTCGTCCGAATTTCGATTTGGAACCAAACGGATCGCACATGTCTATACTATAGTAGGGTATTCCCTGGAATTTAGGACTGTTAGGAGGTCTGGTGTGGATCCCCTCTAACCAGGTGGGTCATGGAGCTAGTGGTTTCCACTTACTTCCTGTTGGAGATGTTTGGTCCACTGGTTTACCAGCCTGCTTTTTATTTCAGCCTCCACTCCTTTTGGAAAATAATGATATTTCTAGAGGCGTGGCAGTGCCCTCTGCTGGCTGAAAGATAAAGATCCCTACAACTACAGTTTACATGGCTGGTCATTTAATTCGGTTCTTTGATTATTCTTATCTTTTCCCTAGATTAACCTCAGCTTACCTTTTGGTCTGTTGGATTGTCTGTCTGCTGTCTACACAACCCACTGCCTACTTTTTTAAAACACTCATCTGCCCCTCACAAATTATGGCATGCTTAGATTGTAAAGCACCGTCCTCCAGCAGTTCAGTGTCCATACTGCCCCTTGTTACCAGCACTTTCGTCTTCATCCAGTCTTCTTCTGGCTTCATGGTCTTCAGTTGTCTTGATTAGCCAAGCCGGGATGATGTACCTGGCACGCATATTCACCTGGCACAAAATCGTCCGGAGCCTGTACATTGAGGTGATGTCTATAAGGCCATGAGCCGAGCCATCTCTGATTATTGAGCAAATGCCCTAATGGTGCATTCACACAGTGTCCCAACAAGGTCCTGGATCTGGTCAATGGACCTCTTTACCAGTTTATTGAGCAAATTAGTTCACCCTACATTGAATTGGTGGTTGATAGGTACACCTGCCATGGACAGAGCTGATCTGGGAATAGTGTCTACTGCGGGTAGCACAGTGAGGATTGTACTTGTGTCTTTCAACCCTGTTCTAAGCTTTAATCCCACAGGAGACACTATCTACATGGAGTCTGTATGTCCTACCTATGCTTATGTGTGTTTTCTATCACTATCCAAAGAATACCCGTAGCCTAGGTAGATTGCCAAGTTGCCTTGTGTGGCAAATGGGGAATTTGGAATAATATGAATGGTGATGTGTAAATTCTGGAAACATGTAAAGTACTCCAACCAGTGGCGTAACAATCAACATAGCGACCCAGGCCGCCGCTATGGGGCCCAGGGCACAGGGGGGCCCGGCCAAGCCAAATCCCTGATGCCGTGCGGGCTGCCTGGGTCGCTGTGGGTCCCACCATAGAGAGTCTATGGTGGGCTCTGCAGGGTTACTCTCAGGTGGGCTGTTTAGGTTATCAGGTGGGCTTAACTAGAAATCACAGAACCCCATACAAAATTTTGCTATGGGGTGCTGTGATTTCTAGTTACGCCCCTGACTCCAAGATAGGTATGTTTTTTCTAAATCAAATGTTGCTTTAAAAGGGAACCTTTTCAGCTTGCATAAGAAAGGGATGGAACACCAAACACAACTCCCTGGTATTGGGCTCGAACCAAAGACGAATATCTAGTGTTTGCAGAGTGCTCCTTTAATTTAGTTTTGAAGCACGTCATTTCCTGGAGATGACTAATCTGCCCGGGGGTGTCTTCAGTATTATTTGCAGAACCCGAGGAAGATGCAAGTGGTCCTCCTGAGACTCATCCTCGCCTCCTGGTGCCTGAATTGTGAGAGCATTTATGTTTCTTTTTGTGCTGTTTGACGCTGCAACTTTTACTATTGCGCCCTTTCGCATATACGCGGCCGTACCAATACCAAACACGTGATCATATGAGGATGACCATCATTTCGGGGACTTTTTGGTATTAATTGGTTCTGTGAATATTTGTTGGGTCCTAAGGTGGATCTACAGAAACAAACTATTAATGTATCCTTAACCTTTTTGGGTCTTCTCTTTAAGAACAGAAGAAAAAAATATTAAAAGGCATTGGGGATTTTCTCATGTTGTTTTTTATATTTATTGGTTTATATTTTTTGTTGTCATTTTTTTAACCACAGATTTAAAGTACCTGATTTGACACCCCTAACTCTTATATTCTTCCATAATTCAATAAATATAGTTATCAGCGCAAAGGAATTACATTTCTTGTGCAAGAGATATTTTTGTTTTATAAACATACATTTCTGTGGATTTTTTACTGCCTATTTTATTTTAAATAATATTAAAAATTTATGACAAAATGTAGTAATTGCATGGGACTTTTTAATTGTTTTAGTAGATCCTAATATTTGAATGATTTGCAGTCACCAGAAACCATCTTTTTATGTTTTTAAAGGTTTTTTTGGTAATTGTTTCCATGTTTTTAATTTAATATATTTCATTGTTTCCCTTCATCTTTACATAATTTCAACAAAAAAAGAAATTTCTGGTGCAACCACACAGTAATCTGTTTTATTATAATTGTACTTGTTAATAATATTTCAAATAAAATGTAAATAATCAAGGTAGAATTGGCATTGGCATGGGACCTGCATTTTTTATGTCCAAAAGTTCTTTTTTATTATACTTTTTCCCCATGCTTGTCATCTTTAGTGTATTATATTTCTTTTTTTTCCCTTTATCTTTAGAGAATTTCTAAAGAAGAAATTAAATGACTCATGTAATTGTGTTTTATATAAACATTTGTCTAGCTACTATAATATAATTGTATTGCCTTTTCCATACATTTGTACTGTTGTTTTATCTGTTTTTCTTATTATTTCTTTAATATAAAACATAATAATTAGGTTACGATTGATACGGAACAAGATTTTTTCAGGTTCTAATTCTTTAAAAATTTTATTATTATAATTTTTTTCCCCATGTGTGCCGTCTTTGATGTAAGATATTTCATTTTTTTTCCCTTCATATCTCCAGAATTTAAAAATAAAAATTACATTTATTTTTTAAGCGGGTTCTATTTTTAACCCTTCACAGTTTGCAGAAAAGCCCTTTATTTTAAAAATGATTTTGTTATATTTTTTTTTTTCCATGTGTACTGATCTTGGTGTCATATCTTTATTTTTCTTTTTTTTGTCCTTCAGTCTGTTTGACAGCAGACAACGATGTAGTCCAGAGCCCACCCTACAAGGTGATCCAGACTGGTGAAAGTGTGTCAATGGATTGTTCTGATGACAGATCCAGCAACCTGGCCAAATTCTGGTACCGCCAGAAGGACGGAGCTCTAGTCCAGATTGCGTATTCGTACAACGCAGGGGAAGCTGACATGGAGAAGGATTTTCCCAAAGATAGATTTCTGATAAAAGCTGATACAGCTATGAGGAGCTCCCTGACCATCAGTGAGGTGTCTGTGGATGACAGTGCGAATTACTTCTGTGCCAGCAGCATCCACAGCGGCACAAGGATAACACGAGGCCGTGCAGGAATTCATCAAAGACACTTTCCTGTAATAAAGACTGTTATACCACAACCAGCTGCCATCTCTTCCTGACAGTTACACACCTCACACATTATAAACCTTTTATTGCAACACTGAGTTTGCTCCTCATTCCTCTTCCTCGACGAATATAATTTTATGGGGTGACCACAAGTGTCACACTTACAGCATTCTGCACATGCTAGTTGAATGGCTGCTATGGCCATCCTCTGGTTTCTATTCGGACGAAATTCAGACGAATTTTCGGAAATTCGGATGTATCCGAATTACAGATATAACGAATGCAAACGAATCCGAATTTCCGCTTCCGAAATTCGTTAGCGGTTGTTCATTCCGTTTTTGTTTCTTATTCGTTTAGTTCGTTATGCAAAGTGACATTAGAGAAGGAGAAAAACATTTTTTTCCCCTCAAATGTCCCTTTGCTGCAACAAACGAACAAATGAACAAAACGAATAAGAAAAGAAAACTGCCCCCATATTTCCTTTTTTAAAGTTGATTATGTATAATGGTTTTGCACAGAGTTCCATTCTTTACCCAATTTCTTAGTCCTATGAAAAACTGGACATCAATATTTTGTGTTCTTCTTTTCAGCCAGCAGGTGGGGCTCTTGTCTTCTTTTTACATCTTTAGCATTAAAAAGGACTCAAGGAAATGTTTTTTTAATTAACCCTTACAGTGGGTCTACCCCTGCACTGTGGCTACCCCTGCATTGCAAGGGTTAACTGCTCCTTTGTGTCTAGGTTAAAAAAAGTTAGACTCACCCAAAGCTCAGAGCCGGGCTTCTTCTTAGACCACTCCTTCCGGCGTCTCTCCCCCTCCTCTGTCCCCGCCCCATCATGTGAAGTTCTGCCCCATCCAGTTGAAGTCCCACCCCCACTGACTAACCAAGCTGTGCAGGGAGGAGGAAGGGAGGAGACAGGGAGGAGCCTCCCTGTCCCTCACTTGCTCGTCACTGATGGCATCAAGATCAATGTCCTCACTGTTTTTGTTTCCTTTTTTTTGGATTGGACAGCTTGGACCAATGGCACTTTGCCATTGGTCCAAGCCATCCAAAGAGCTCACACCTCTAACACAGAGTAGGGGTTGTGACAGCTCTTGCATCACCAAGTTAGGTTACACAAGCAGTGGGGAAGCCCGCTGCTGTGTAACCTAACTACCTGTCAAAAGCCGAATGCAGCGCTGCCTGTAATTAACACACAGTGCTCCGCCCATGACAGGTTACACAGCGGGGGGAGGATTTACCTGCTGTGTAACCTGATAGAAGCCGATCTGAATGGAGGAAAAGCTGTCGGCTTCAGACTTGAAACTGACAGGTGAGGCTCTGCCCCACCTGCCTCCGCTGACCGCACGTCCCTGGTGTAAGGTCCTGCAAATCATTATTGGCTATACACAGCGTATAGACGTGAGGACGCTGAGGAAGATTACAATGCTGCATGGAGGTGGAGAAGACAGAGAGAGAGGTGACAGCTGGCCTGCTCGGAACTTAAGGTGAGTATAACTTTGTTATCTTAGCACCTAGACAAAAATGAGCACGTAACCCTTTGCAGTGCGGGGGTAGCCCCATTGCAAGGGTTAATGTAAAAGAAATCCTGGGGTTCTTCAATTTTGTTTTGCTTATGCTAAAAGTTGTTTAGCAAACTCAGAAGTGAGTGACTGTTCTATGCAAAGCAAGCTACTCTGCTGAGATCCTATATAACAATATTATAAGAATAATGCTCTGGGAAGTATTTGTCATGTTTTAAATGTTTATTTGTAAAACAATATATATATATATATATATATATATATATATACAGTAGATAGATAGATAGATAGATAGATAGATAGATAGAAATGAGTGCACAGAGAATGTGCCTTCTCTAAAACCCAAAGAAACCCCTCAGGTCATTTTGCCTTTGCCAATGTAAACAGTGAGTCAACTTTTGGCTTATGGAAGCCGCTGACATTATTTCCTAAATTTACGTTTAACCCCTAATTTCATAAATCCCCTAAAACCAGAAAAGCAGAATTCCAGGAAAAAATAAAATAATAAAAATGAATAGACATGTGAAAGAAAAGATAAAACATCAGCTTTTACTGCAACCCAGAGCTGTCCCCTGCAGTAATTCCTCTCCACCACTAGATTTCAACGGTCTTCCAGGTAGCATGATAGCCATTTTAATTCAACTCGCTTCTTGTGAGCCCATGCTGTCATGGACGTACCTCCTAGGAGTCAACCATCACCCTGCACTGAACAGGGATTGCATATTACTATGTCAGTGCAATTCAGACCAGGAGTAAGATATACCCACTGCCATCCACCAGAGGAGAAGGGAAGGAACCATGAGATCATTGGACAAGCTACGAGACCCTTGGGAAAAGGTATGTTGAGGTAGCTTTTGAACAGGCAAAAGATCAGTGTCATGGGCACAAGGACTGGTGATTATTAAGTGTCTTCTTTTGCAAGAGGCATTTTTCAAAAATGTTTCAAAGACGATGGAGTCAATTAAAGGACCCATTCACATCTTAAATGTTATCGTAACGATTGGTAAAACATTTCATAACAAACACTTAAAAAACAAATACTTTTAGGGTGGCATCCCAATGCGCTATGGATCCACATGCACTGCAGAGTGCCAAAATGCATATGCCCTCCATTGTGGTGCACTGCTTTAAAAGAAGGGCTTTTTTAGTGCAACAAGACGCCATGGCGGTCCATTTAAAAGGTTAGTTCACCTTTTCACAAAAAATTAAAAAGTGAACTAACTCACAACAATCCCCCTCCCCAGCCCTTTTCCCCGCCGCCCACCCCTCGGTCCTTGAAACACTTAGATGGTTTGATAACAACCTCCCATTGCCAGAGGCTGTGCAATGGTGAGTGGTCAATACGGCCAAGTGATTGCGTTGACCAATGAGAATACCTTCCAGGCTCAAAAGACATTCTCGATGGCCCCAAGCTATTTTCCATGGCCAGCAATATGATGCTACACAGCCCCTGGGACTGTGTTTTGAAATTTGCGGTCTGTTAAACTGGCTTACTGGAGGTTGTCAATTAAGCATCTAAGTGCAGTGGTAATTGGGGGTGGGGAGCTGTTTTCATTTTCTTGTGAAAAGGTGTTCCAGCCATTTGAAATTAATAGGCTGTCTTAACGCAACATGTCTTTAAGCAAGCGTTACGCAAAGAATAGATTAAATAGGCCCTACTCCAGACCACAAGAGAAACTCAAATCTGTCACATACGTAGTGAAGTGTGCAGCTCCCTGTGACACACCTCTATGGCACAATCTGGTTTTGGGTCACATATAGTCAAGACAAAAAATGTTTGTATAGATATTTCTGAGCTGTGGAGATGACGACACTCCTATTGCAGTTCCTGGTCCCCTTCTGCTTCCTGCAGTGTAAGTGTGACAAATGTCTGCAATGTAGCTGAGCAATATAGAAATATATATATTGCAATTTAATTTTACAATATTTCATTCTTTTATTTTATTTCATTAATTTTACTTGGTGCATTCAAGCTAGGCTGCACTGATCTCTCCTTTGATCCGGTATTAACACATATATAACGGTGATAAACAAAAACCTGAAGATTCCTTACAGGACTCTCGTGTCATTTTCACAAAGGCTAAACTTTTTCAATGAGTTGATATTCTTTTCTTTCTTCTTGGTTTATAGATAACTCTAGCTTAAAGTTTTACTACATATTATACCAAAGCTTCATTACAAAGATATTCAAAGATTTTTTTTTCATAAAAGGAACATTTCTATAGGAACATGCAAAATAAGTACCGTAACTGTGTATACCTGCTAATCATCCATATTATTAATGTTATCTTTATGCAATATTTCATTAGAGATCTGTTATCTTATTGCACTTAGTTTGTTTCTAAGCATTTGGCACTCTCGTATTATAAAATTTTTCAATGGATATTATTTTTTTAAAGTTGATAAATTGTTACTTTCTGTAAGTATGTGAGTGTTTTTTAAGTGTGCGAGTGTTCTTAGGTCATACATGCCCTTTTCCAGTAATTTTTCAATAATCTTTGAATATCTTTATGCGATTTATGTTCTGTTTATTCGTCCCAATTTAATAAAACTTAAATACATGAAAAATTGTTACTTTTTATAACTGTTTGTTTTTAAATTTCAGAATATCAGGAATATAATTATAAACACAGAGGATTGCTTGGAAGATATGTACAAGTACCACCAATGCCATTTGTAATTAAAAAGGGCTGCTTGACACAGACTAGCACAGATTGGGGGTACTTGCTAAATGTTTCCAGCTATGAAGGGCAGATTACATGATAATACTATTGGTCTGTATTACTCCAAATCGGACATATGGAAATTACACCATGCAAAGAGTTTAAAGTGACACTAAGCTCAGGACTTAAATATCAAAAATACATTTTTATGCTACAGCTCCGAAGTTTAGTGTCACTTTAAGATTGCTAACCTCTTGTTTTCCTTATTAGTACAGATGGGCAGAGTGATTAAGATTATGTTATATGTTGATTTCCCTTTTGTCAAATGTTCACGTAATTCTAAAATTTGCTGTTATCTGAAATTTGCCTGAAAAAAAAAAATCTGTACTTATTTTTTCTTTAGTTATATAGTGTTTTTTTTTTTTTTTGGGGGGGGGGGGGGGGTTTAAAATTGTTTTTTTTTTTTTTTTTTTTGTTTTTTGGTTTTTTTTGTTTTTTTTTTTTTGTTTTTTTTTTTTTGTTTTTTTTTTTTTTTGGGGGGGGGGGGGGGGTGCTTAGAATAGTTCATTTTATTTTATTTAGTGTTCTTTGGATTTTTTTGTGTGTATTTGTGTACTGTTACTTTAAAAAACTGGTCCAGGATAATTGAAAGGAGCTTCCACAATGCTCAGGTGCCATCACACCCATAAAAAAACACCAACTACCTTAATTTTCTCTTCCACTTACTCTAATTCATTTGGTTAAAATGGTTTTAATTTTCCACAAAATTTCAGGAAAATTAAATCTCGAAAATTTACTCAGCCGTAATTATTATTCATTAGCTGCCAAGTTAGGCTAAAGGAGGCTGCAAATAGACAGTTCGAGGTCTTGTGGAATGTTTGTAAGGGAGGCTAGCTGCAATTTCAAAACAAAATCTCACCTCATTCCAACACTTTCATTTTATATATATTCATCTCTATGAAACTCCTAAAATGCTGACATATTAACCTATAAATGTTACTAAAGTCTATTTTACATTTGTTGACTGGCCCCAACGGTGGCAGTCCTAAATTTTAGATGTTGCTCACCATAAACGTTTAGTCAACTGATTGACATCTCTTCTTTCAGTCTGTCTGTCTGAAGATGTTATTCAGAGTCCTGAGCTCCAAGTGGCTCATCCAAACGATGCAATTTCATTCAAATGTGCCCATGAGGCCTCCAACTTCAACTATAAATACTGGTACCGGCAGAAAAAGGGGAAAGAACTGGTTTTAATTGCCTACGCTTACAAAACGGATAAGCCGGACTACGAGAAGGATTTCACGGATAAGGAAATTGTTATGGAAGCGGATGGTCCCATGAAAAGCATCCTGACCATCAAAAAGGTCTCGTTGGAAGATAGTGCGGTCTATTACTGTGCCAGCAGCATCCACAGCGAGACAGTTGTAGAGAGAGGATGTTTAAAACTCTGGATGTAGATCCTCCTCCTGTATGAGGAACATGGCAGAAGGAGGAGATCAATGTGAATGTTTCATTAACCCCTTCCTGGATACTCATGTATGGGATAGTCATAGCTTCTACATTACCTAATTGTATGTCCAATACCCTACTGAATGTCATGGTTGTTATGTAGAGCAGTATATGGGTTTTTATGTCATCTCTCAAACCACTGATGTCACTCTGGAAGAGTCACAATTCCTGACAATGCCGGGGAAAGCTTGTCCCTAAAAGTGACATTGTAGATTGCATGACTGGAATGCAGGAGACGCTTTGGATCAGGTCTGTGCAGTCAGGCCAGGATAGCGATTAAAAGATAACGTCCTTGTTCAGTTCTGCCAGTAAGTCAGCAGGACAGTATGCCAACATTGTTGGTTTTCTTGATGCAGACAGGGCCGGACTTCCCACAAGGCCAATCGAGGCCCAACCTTGTGGCAGCAGGCAGTAGAGGGGCAGCAGGGGTGTGGAATTTCTATTTCCCCCAACGCCGAGGACATGCAGTTCCGGGCACTGGGTGGGTAGTTGTTTTCTACATTTAGCCCTGCTTTAGGCAAGCAGGGCTAAACATACAGCAGGGAACCTCACGCTTGTTTTGTACAGGGGGGCGCATTGAGGAACCTGGCATTGGGGCAGCAGAGAGAGTAAATCCGGCCCTGCATGCAAATGTTACCCATGGGAGCCCCTCCAACATACCAGTTGCACCATATGGCCATTCCGTTGTGCACCAGCCTCTCCACCTGGAAGTCTATTCAACAAGCCAGTCACTCCACCTGGTAGTCCCTTTAGTGCACCAATCTCTCAGCGTGGCAATCTCTCCAACACACCAGTCCCTCCAGGCGTCTCTTCAATATGCCGCTGTCTGCACACTGCAGTCTCTCCAACAAGCCCGTTTCCCTACATGGCAGTAAGTATAGTGCACCAGCCTCTCCACCTGTGTGTCGTTCCGGCATTCCAGTCACTCCACATGACAGTCCCTTAAGAGCACCGGCTTCTCCTCATGTCTGACATTCCAACTCCAGTCTCTCCAGGTGGCAGTCTCTCTAACATGCCAGTTTCTCCAGATGCTAGTCAGTTCAACACACCAGTCTCTCCACATGGCAGTTTTTCCAACAAGCCAGTTGTGCCACGTCACTGGCTTCCAGTGGTCTATCCAACATGCCATTCTCTTCACATGGCAGTCCCTCTAGCATGCCTCCATCTCTATATAGCAGTCTCTCCAAAACAACAGTGTTTTGAGGTGACAGTCTATTTAATATGCCCCTTTATCCAGATGCTAGTATCTTCAACACACCAGTCTTTCCAACATGCCAGTCTGCTGCCTCCATCTTTACATGGCAGTCTCTCTAACACCAGTGTTAGGAGGTGGCAGTCTAGATAACAAGCCCCTCTTTTGCATTTTTAGTGTCACTTAAAAAAGGCAAATTGTATAATGCAAAGTGCAGCAAAACATACACAGCTAACACTTATCATTTCTACTTTAAGACATATTATTTAATGTTCAAAGCTTTTACAAATATATTGGGATAGGGAGGTAGATAGGATATTGCAATTTTTATATGTAGTTTTGATGTGCTTTAAAGTAATGCAAAAAGGTGCAAAGATCAATTTATAATGTATCCCAACTTTAAAACATACAGTATTTATGCTCACTAAAGGAGAAGGATATCAGCATGATGATTATATGATAAACATATATTTTTCCTTCCTTCCAATCTTCCGCAGGCGTGTGTTGGGGAATTGAAATATCTCAGCAAAAGATGATGGTGTTGCCTGCAGGAAAAGAGGTGGTCATTCTCTGCGAGCACAACGACAACACCTATCTAACCATGCTCTGGTACCAGCAGAAGAAAGACCAAGGGTTGAAGCTATTAACGTATTCAGTAGGAAAGGACAGCAATGACATAGAAGATAAAGACAATGCAAACAAATGGTCCACGGAGAGACCAGATATCCTAATATATTACTTGAAAATAGCCAACCCAGGGGTTGAGGACTCTGCAGTGTATTTCTGTGCAGCCAGTACACAGCCTCACAGAGCAGATGAGACATAAGGCAAAAAGCGTCTATAAGAGAGCCATAGCAGTGCCCAATCACACCAGCAGGGGGAGCACACACTTAATTTTTATTTTAATATTGTTATTGTTTCTTGTATGTATTTATATACAGCAACCATATTTTTATCATGTAAAGAGAACACTAACCATGCACATAATCAATACCTTTTAAATTGTGTACTTCAGAAAAAAATAATTCTATGTTCAGTAGCAAATCCTTCTGTTTGAACGAGTTATTTACTTTTATGTGTTTTGCTGCATTGTTTAGGCAGGCTAAGTACACATGGGAACCAAACAGGGCTTCCAAGAGCTCAATATGGATGGACAGAGAATGTCCAGTAGAGTTTCTTGGTGGGGGGACTGTCAGGTAGGCTGTACAGGGACCCATGATGTTCAATGGTAGTCCTGCATACAGTAGCTTCAAATGGCTCTTGGTAACAATGTGTTACCAGTGTAAATACATCAAACAGTGGATAGAGATGTAAAAAACATACAATTTAACCTTGAAAGTTTGGGAAAAAGAAGGTTAAAAGTCCTGAATAGACCAAACTATGTAGACCTTGTGTAAAAGAGTATATAACTATACAGCGTTTCATGTTGCAAAACAAACTGAAAGCTTGGTTACAAATATCTCCTGTTTTTCCATTTAAGGTAAGTTCTGCTTAATGGAACCAGCGCACATAAAGCCCCAGAACAAATCAAATATCATAAACAGTTAATGTGCTAAAGTCTCCTACTTGTCAAGCCTCCCTTTCCCATTGATATGCTCCGAGATGCCTGCTGCCATTCCTCCAATAAGAATGCCTTTACTGACCACTAATTTATTGGATAGTTCAGGTTTTAGCCTAGAGAAGTTGACAAAGTGAATGCAGTTTCAGGGAGGCACACAGAAAAGGCTTTCTGGCTAGGTATAAACAGAGTATCAACATCAGGAAGATCTTCAAGAAGTAGGTTTATTTGGCCTTCCGGATACAAGCAGCATTTCAGGCACACTTAAACAATATGGGCTCACAGGCCTTTTTGTATAAGAATGTGAACAATAGAAACATATGTTACCTTGTCTCTAATTATCTTGACAAATCAGATAATAATGGCGCCCTGTACTCATATTAGAATGTGCCACGTACAGTAGATGGTTCTTGTCATGATAAGACTCCCTCACATCAAAGTTGGAGGACGGCTGTCTTGGCATTAAACAAATTGTTCCCTAAACCAAGGTCAGAAAATATGTTTATGACTTGAACATTCTGTCATTGGACTCTTGTTACCTCGATCCACAAAGCCTAAATTACCTACATGAACTCTACTTACCTTGACCTACAAGTTGCATGAGCTGCATGTTGCTTACACATACAACTCATTATACTGTATATGTATTATAAGTGTATATGATGGTTCCACTATAATCAGGATATAAAACATCTATAACTATAATCATTTGGTCATTTTGGCTTTCTGTTTGTAAAATAATTAATGACACGGCGTAATATGTGTTTGTGTTCATTTGAGGTTGTATTTACCTAATTTTGAGACCTGCTAAGGACCGGATGATTTATATTATGTCCTGATACTAAAAACTATATAATTCAAAGAGGGGGTACTTTCTTTTTATCATGACTGTATATTGATTAAGGATGCACCGATACTCACACACTCGTGAAAATGCACCGATACTAAACACCATTGCCGGACTTTATATTTTTAAATGAAAGCGACTGCCTGAGGTCATGCATTTGCTGTGAACCATGCGGTGTCTTTTTACAACCACACATCTCCTCCTCCTTGGGGAACTCCCCTGCCTGCACGCACCCATGAGCAGTGGCATCACACAGGGGGTTGGGCCAACACCCAGGTGACACCATTAGATGGGTGTCATTTTGGTCTCACCCCCTCTAAAAAGTCGAGCACTCGATCACGGACCGAGAGCCCGACAAAGTCAGGAGAGACCCAGCGGCATACCTCATCCCGCCGGGTGAATGTCTCCTCCTCTCTCTGCCGGCGTCCATCACCAAGATGGCCGCCAGCAGGTGTCAATTAGATGACCGTGCATGTGCAATGACGTCAACACGCACGCGCAATGATGTCACGGGGGTGTCACCCGGTCTCTGCTCTGGGTGACACCCGGCCTCGGGAACGCCCCTGATACAATCTAGACCTCTGGTGAGACCCCATACAGCCTCCTGAGACCACACACAGGCCCCTGAGACCCCGCACAGCCCCCCAAAGCCGTGCACAGCCCACCTGAGACCACGCACAGCCTCCTGAGAATAATTATTATATTATTAATAAGAATAAGAAGAATGTTTATGCTGATTAATATCAATATAAAATATATGGGTTAATA